GCCGAGATTCCGTGTCATTCAGCCGGTAATCCTGACCGCCATCAACCCCCACTTGAGAAACAGGTCTGGGTTGGTGGCAACCCCACTCACAGGCTGCCAGAACATCCATGCCGAAGCTCCCATGACGTTCACTGCTTGGACTATACACCGCGCCATGAACAGCGTAGCCCCGATGTCGTTACCACTCACCCATGGGTCCTATCTCCGACACCCACACCTCCTTCCCCAGTCCAGTCGCCATGCGGTGCATGTTCACAAACACCCCTTCCATGTACCGCCGGGTGTCTGTGGTGTTGCTGGGAGGCGGCACGTACCCGTGCACACTCAACCTCAACAGCCCCGCTTTCAATGCAGCTGGGAACTTGTACGTGAACCGGAGAGTCGCGCCCACAAAACTATCAAAGCCCGCGACTTTTGTCGGGAGTTTCCGTTTCTTGAGGGTAGCGGAGAGGTGGTTGATCAGGGTGGTCAGCTCTTGCGGTTGAAACTGCAGCCCTCCTGCCGATGCCCCTGCAGCCACCACCCTTCGAGCGCCTCATTCGCCGGGTTCATTGTCGAGAACGTTACGTTCCAATGCGTGCGGTAATGCTCGATCACCGCCGCCTGATACTCAGTATAAGCTTGAAAGAACTCGGGCTTTAAGTTGCACTGATTCATCTCAGCCGCCCCTGCGGTGTCCCCGCTGACAGTCATCCACCAGGGCGGCGAGTAAGACACCGCTTCCACCTCATCCACGTTCCGGTCCGGGCGGCGAGCATTGTCCGTCTCTGCCGCCTGTCCGCCGTCCAGTCGTAAGGCCCATTGGGCTGGGGGCGGAAGCCCGGGAGGGCGCGGGTTTCCCAGGCGGCGGTGAGGAACTGCGGGCTGTTGGAGGCGTTGAAGGTGCCGCCTATGTGGTAGCGCGCCAGGTTGAGCCCGATGCCCTTGGCCTTGTCGAACAGCAGGTCCATTACCAGCGAGAACTGCTCCTCGGGTAATTTACCCACGTAGTTGGCAAACCTGGGGGGATGGTTTCGGGGTATGGTGCAGGGGTGGATAGGGACATGCGGCATGAGGCATGAAAGGGTGAGCCCGATGGCATTGGCCTTGTGGACTAGCAGGTCCATGATGAGAGAGCTTGCCCACGTAGTTGGCAAACCTGGAGCATGGGCTATGGGGCATGGGGCATGAGAGGTGTGTCATGGGGCAAAGGGCATGGAGGATGAATGAAAGGCGTCGCATGGGGCATGGAGCATGGGACATGAGGCATGTACGGGATGAAGTAGACAGTAAAAAAATCTTGGCAATGGAAGGCATTAAAAGCATAGCTGGCAGGAATGGTTGGCCCATCTGGTTTGTTGCATGGCTGAGAAGATTCCTGGGTGGGTGAAGCATGCATGAAGGAATTGGATGAAAAGGATCATTTGAGGACACAGCAGAAGCATGACATTGGCAGCACAGAAAACAGCAGCAGGTGCACAACAACACATTGCAAAATTAAAAAACACCATGCCAGCTGCAGAGCCTATCACGACAGCTAAACAGCCAATCATGACAGCTCAGCAGCCTATCATGCCAGCAAGGCAGCTCACCAGGCAAGCGAGGTTCCCCATCCTCGCCACGTCTGCCCGTTCCAATCCGGAACGATGGTAATGGTGGAGGGGCCTGCAGCGGAAGTGAGTGGGAAAAGGAAAGAGAGAGGAGATATGGGGATGTGAGACGTGCCCAAGCCCCGCCACGCCACATCTGGGTGGTGGTGGTGGTGGTGGTGGTGGTGGTGGTGGAGGAAGCTGGGAGTGAAGGTGAGAGGGGGAACAAACGAGGAATGAAGAAGGGGGGGCTGTGATCGTCCAGGGGGCTGGGGGGGAGGGGCAGAGAGAGAAGAATCTAGGAAGAGACGAAGTGAAAGGAGCAGGGAGGACACACGGGGTGGAGATGAAGGTGGCCCAGCCTGCCAAGACAGTTGCAATCCGGTGTGATGGTGGTGGGTGGGGCGGAGAGGGACTGCACGCGCGAAAAGTAAGACAATGAGGGGCTATGGTGGGGGGGGGGCGTGCTCAGATGTCACCTGGGGTAGAGAGGGAGAGGGAGGTTTCGTTAGAATTCTCAAAACACCTGCAAAATCGGGGGAGGAGAGGGCAGACGGGGCAGAGACGGAGGGTGGGAGGGTAGAGAGGAGGAGTGGAAGGGGCGAAAGCCGAAGGAATGGGGGGGATGCTGTGGTTTCAGGGGTGGAAGGGGGGTTTGGGGAAGGGAAGGGTGGGGGGCGGGGGGGGGGAAGGGGGGAGGGAACACTGCATGGCCGATATGTGAAGCACACAGGGAGGAACTGTTCACGTCATGCCGTCGTGCACGTGCGTTGATCACGCTGGGTGGTCGCGGAAAAAGGGACAACTGGGAAAACGAGCAGAATAAAAAAACCAAGAGGAAAAGGAAACTGGAGAAATACAATAATATGAGACATAAGGAGAGCTGGCTCGGGGCCGCAAGTGAGATGTCGTTCTATTGCACAGCGAAGTTGGCTATAACGAGCACAGCTGGCTACTATCTGCATTATCCCAACAGTTCCAATCCAAGTTCCCTTCCATTTCACCCACCTCACCCCCAAAACCCCCACCAGCTCATTAGCGCGGATATCTCACCCTCAGTTCTGCACACGCTGATGATCTCATTGTCGGGTTCCAGCTGCGCCTCGTTCCCCGCAGGCGGAGGACTGCCCCATCCCCCGGGTCCCCCTCGCCGGGCCGGTCTCCCCCTCCGTCGGGGGGAGGGGAAGGCTCGGAACTCTGCGCGATCACTGCGCCAGCGGACGCTAGGCTTTGCGCGGATGCGGAGGCTGGAATTACGCGCGCGGATGAGGAGGCGGGAGTCACGCGCGCGGATGATCCACTTTGCGCCGTCATGCGCGGCCGCCAGCACCCTTGCGCGGGCCACAGCAGCATCCACTCCGCGTCGCACGCGGCCGCATCGGCGCCGGAGGAGGCGGAAGCCGCCAGAGCACGCCCCCGCGCAGCCGATTCCGCCCCCGCATGCGCGAACTGCGCAAAACCTGCATCCCCTTCAACGGAGTGCGACGATTGCACCGCGAACACGTTGGGGTAACGTGGCGACCGGGGTTCGTCAGCGAAGGGGACAATTAAAGGCGGGTACCAAGCGCGGGAGAGCGGAATAAAGATGCTGCTGTTCGAATCACGGTGCTGGTTCACCAGGTGATGGTTCGCGGGGTTCTTGTTCACGACGGGCGGCGCTGGGGGAGGTGGTAACTGCGCGCCGATGGGAGCGGCACGGGTGGTTAGGATAGACGGATGGGACGCGGATGAGGAAGCGAAGAGCAGGAGGAGGAGCGGAAGCGACGGGCGACTGAAGCTGGTAACTGGTCGAGCGTGCCGGCTTCGCAAACGGGCCATATCGAAAGCGGACTTTCTTTCTCTTATGACGAGGAGAGCCGCTGGCGCGACTGCAGAGGTGCCGAGTCGCCAGGGTTACTCAACTTAGAGCAAGTCAGGAAGTGCAAACGCTTTCTACGACGCTGCGCAGCTGTCACCATACGAATTTGTTCCACTGTAAACTATCCTGCGTCTGCTAAGACCTAACTCTGCAGTGGCCTAGCACCTGTCACCCGCCACGGCTGCTGCTGTTTTGACCATTGCCCATCCTACGACTGCTATGGTGTATTTTGCACTACTGTCCAACGCGGTGAAATCCGATCTCTAACGTCACGCACCGTACTGAGCTGCATCGACTGCCAAGGCATGTTCTTGGGAACCGCCCTTCTCTAACGTGATTGCACTGATGAATATAGACTGATTGTTTCAAGAAGCACCTACATCTGGGGGCCGTTCGCTGGCCAATTTTTCACCGGCACGGCGAGGGAAATCAGGCATGGGGAACATCGATCGAGGCTTCGTGGGTTCGCCGAACCAAATTTGCGAAACGTGATGTCAGCATACGAAAACGTCGCGTCGGTTCGGTTTCCCCAAACCAGTTGCCCCCAAATCGCGTGCTCCTTCTCATGCCAAACCCGAAGCGCGGCCATCAGCCGCCCAGAGCTGCCAGGCAAACTCCGTGCCACACCTCATACTGCAAAATCGTGGTATGAGGCAGGCCAAGATTGGCATGCCTCTTGGCTAGGCAGGTTTACGAAACCCAAAAAAAACTGCAGCCACTTCCCCTTCAATCCTACCCGTCGATTTGCGCAATTGCGCCAGCTCATACCCATCCAATCGGTCACATTTTGAAATGTTAAAAAAATTGGCAGTTTTGACAAAATTGTGTGAATCGCATTTTCTCCCCTAGATTTTCCACGAAAGTGCGATGGGCTAAGAGGGCTTTTGATGGGCCCCATACTTCACTGTCCGCGAGTTTGTCTTATCCAGTCCTGCAGTCTTGACCGACGTAATCATGAGCCGGCGACGTTATGATTACCAAAGTACGGGGGCACTCAAAAAAATTTTACGTAGGTTTGGATGCGCAGATTCCGTGCGCGCGGGATTTGGTCGCCCGTTCCCCTCCCCGTTCCCCTCGGAAAATTGCCAGCGAACGGCCCCCTGCTCTAGGCAACAGAAGGCATGTGTACTTTGAAGCAGCGGAACGGGAATTGTGTGGGGGTGGGTGGGGGGTGTGGGGGGCATGCTGTGTTGTCGGTGGGGCGTGTTTGTGGACGGGTGTCTCCGCTCATCCGTTCGTCCGTTTGTTCTGACAACTTCCTGACCAGCTGCAAAAACCTGTTACAGAAGTTTGACGGCGAGTAACATTTGACACCAATTTCTCGGAGGCTCGTTTCGTGGGTCCATCCGGCGAATATCAGAGTCGTACACGTCCTCGATCTCAAACTGTTACACATACACGCAAAAACACAACTGCTTCGTCAGAGGACGCGTCTGTAACCAGGAAACGAGAGCACAGAACTGGACAACTTCGCCAACTAGGGCAGTTTGGGAGAAAAAAATGGTTCGGCGATGTTCGTGACAGTTTGAAAGTTCGTTACTTCTTTCCACTGTATACTTTCGCAATGAACCTGTTTCACACAGGAGCTGGGCTCGATTGGTCTCCACTTCGCAATTTTTTGTCGAAATTGAGCCTCAGGCTCGAGCTGGACTCTCACTTGACCCGAATATTTGGGTGAGGCGCCTAAGGGTTTCGAAACTAGGTATCGTTCGAGCTTTGGTGTGGTGACTGGTTTCGCCAGCGCTCGTAAGGACGTGGAAGAATGCATCCGCTTCGCATGATCGCTTTCCAAACCTCAAATAGTACCGTGTTTTAACACATTGCATCTATTTGCGCCGTATAAATACTTATTTTAGACCCCTCGACATGATCCGGAAGAGGATAGATTAGGGCAATTCGGACCAGGGCTTATTTTATCAGAGTAAATCACTCTGGATCTCTGAAAATCAGAGTCTTTTTTGTAAACTTTTCTCATGGTCCTGGGTAATATTTTGAAAGTATAAGTTTTCTCTGATTTATCAGAGTTGGCCTATGTACCACCCTGAAGAGTTTTCAATGGGGGGATGCTCCTAGATTTTCCCTGTACTCTCGGTATTCGGCTAAGTCCTCCGACTGCCAGTCACACCCCTCCCTTCCCACGCACCCTGGATAATTTTGGCTAAGTCCTTTGCAACTGGTCACATCCCGCCTCATACCCGCCGTAACCTGGAAAATTTGGGCCAAGTCCTCTGTAACCAGTCACAACCCAGGAACATTCCTCCTTCCCACACCCAAACCAACCTAGCCCAGCTATGTTCAACGCTGTTTGACTGGCCCTTACCGTCAATCACGCTACTTTTCACATGTGTAACTTGGCACGGGTTTGACACGTAAACATTGCAGCAAAGGCGATTGGTACAGCACATGCGCCAGCCAATCACTGGCGTATTGTTTCTGTACTTCGCTCACAGGCAGACAGGATTGGCTGTTGTTTTTTCCCACGCGAAATGCCTGCCAGCGCGAGATGCAGTGTTGACTGAGAACGCGTTTTGTACCTGAGGCGAGCCCCAAGGGAAGAATTCGGG